GAGATGGGGTTTCACCGTGTTAGCCAGGATGGTCTTGATCTCCTGACCTCGTGATCCGCCCGTCTCGGCCTCCCAAAGTGCTGGGATTACAGGTTTGAGCCACCGCGCCCGGCCCTCTTCTTGCTTTTCTATTGAGATACCTTTTTTTAAAAAAAATTTGATTTTTACTTTAAAAAACATTCTAGGAGCCTTTTTTGATTACATATGGAGAAACTTATTCTTTGACTTGTCTTTTCACTCTTTTAGCAATGTCTTTTAAAGAAGAAATTCTTAGCCAGGCATGGTGGTGTGTGCCTATAATCCCTGCTACTTGGGAGGCTGATGGGGGAGGCTGAAGTGGGAGGATACCTTGAGCCCAGGAGTTTGAGACCAGCCTAGGCAAAATAGTGAGATCCAGTCTTAAAATAAATAAAAGCATATCATAATTTTAATGTCATCCAATTTATTAATCTTTTCCTTTATGTTAAGTGCTTTCTATGTCAAAGAGAATCTTGACTTACACCTAACATCATGAAAATATTCTCCTCTGTTATATTCTAGAAGCTTTATTAGTTTACCTCTCACCTTTAGATTTATACTCCATCTTGAACTAATATGAGGTAAGAGTCAAATTTTTCCCTATGAGTATCCAATTAATCTATTTTTTCTTTAAAAAAGCCCTTTTCCTATTGTCCTAGAATACTTTTTTTTTTTTCATAAATCAAGTGTCCTTTATATGGGTCTGTTTATAGATTCTCTGTTCTATTCAGTTGGTCTATTTGTCTATTCTTCCACCAATTGAGCACTGTATTAATTACAGGACCTTTATAATATATCTTAATAACTGGGAGAATAAGTTCTCTTTCCAGTTCACGAACGTACTATTCCTTCTGTTTATTTTGGTCTTCTTTAATTTCTTTTAATAATTTTTATGGTTTTTTTGTTAGCATTCTTACACATTTTTGTTAATATTTTATATCATATTAAAACATAAAAGAAGTCTCAATTAAGAGCCAAGCAGGTGTGTGCATGTGTGTGTGTGTAAGTGGACTAGATCTAAAATATACAGGCAAGTACATAGGGTCAAGAATAGCTAAATACCCTTGAAAAAAGGTAGAACTTACTTTTAAATGTATTAATTCAGTTTTTACAAAACTAAATTTATCAACTATTTTGCCACTGTTTTAAATTTTCAAGAAGTATTCAATATCTTAAATGTGAAACTTATACAAAATTGGCATTCAACTAAGCTAGGATGCAAATACATTGCACAAAATGAACAGGATGACATGTCTATGGGGAAATAAAAACTAGACTAACACAAAAATTAGATTTCAGTTTCTCAAAGGCTGT